GTGGCTCGATCCCGCGCGCCGCTCAGGCTCGAGTTCACCCCGCCCAAACCCCCGCAAAGGTCCTCTCGCTGCCCCTGCTTGCTTCGTCGCCTTCGAAGGCGTTCGCTGCTCTCTCGCGCTTGCTTTCTGCGTCGTCGCCCGCCGTTGAGCCGTTCGGCGACGCCGAACGCAGGTTCTCCTCTGGTTACGTTCAATCGATCTCCCATGCTCACCTGTTCTCTACTGCAAGTACTGGAGGTTCGTCCGCATTCGTCTTCGTCTTCGTCGCTGCTTCGAACAGGCTAGAGGTACCCTCGCTCCTCTTATAAGCACGGACCGAACTTCCTGCTCGTTTCATCTCCTCCTATTTGTTCTCCATCTCCAGACCGTAGGCTTCAAATTGCCAAACGTTACACATAACGTTTTTAGCTAAAGAAAGGAGGGTGGAACTATGGCAGCTGCAAATCAGATGTTCAGTGGCAACATGAAGGTAATTTGTAGTCTTAAGAATACAATTTTAATTGAAATGATTCTGTGAAATTTGCTCTTTAGAATGCGGTTTCTTGCATAAATGTTCTGTGTATGATAATAAGTATATATTGTTTTATACTTTTTGCACTTCATTCTGAAAAATATTTGATTTTATCCTCTTTGCAATTCTTTTGTGTGTTTTCTTTAACTAAAGCATAATTTAAAGTAAAACGTGTTGCAAATTTGAAGTGAATGTTAGGTTGGCAAAATCTTGATCTGGATAATTGCCATCAAATTGAGTATTATGCCTTGTTATGGCGTTAATTCTATTAGCTGTTGGTTATCTTTTTGTTTGAGATATTCTTATGATGCACTGATGTATTGCTTGGTCATTTGCATATTTTCCTTGTCGAGATTTTAGTTATTTTTTGTTTTAATCAAATGTCAGAACTTAATAATATATGAATTGTATTCTATTCCACTTTAATTTTTTTAGTTATTTTTTACCCATTTTATAAAGATAACCTGGCTGATGAAATCATCTCTTTTGTTTTGGGAGGATATTTTACTTTTACAACACACTATAATAGCATTCATAAATATGCTGTTGAAAGAGGCTAAATGCCTTAAATCCAACAAAGGGACATGCTTATGCATATCGGCTTGAGCATTTTTAGCATTTTTTATGATTTTTTTTTTCCTGTAAGAGCTTTTCAGCAAGTATATTTTAAGCCACAATTTTTATTGAATTTTTCTGCAAAAACTTTTTTAATGTAAATTATGAGAGTTTTCCATTCAAAAAGGCCCTATTTTTTGTTTTGCTTTTTT